AAACAAATAACAAAATAACAAAAATCTTTTTGATATTTTTGATTTTTCGAAAATAAAGAAAATATTTTTGTGTTTTTGGACGTTTTTCGAAAAAGAAAACAATTAACAAAAGAAAATCTTTTTGGAATTTTTGATTTTTCGAAAATAAAATGACAAAATTTTTTTTTTTTTGTTGTTTTTGATTTTTCGAAAATAAAAGACAAAAAAAATAAAATCTTTTTGTTGTTTTTGATTTTTCGAAAATAAAAGACAAAACAAATGAAAATATTTTTGTTGTTTTTGAAAGGTTTTCCAAAAGAAATTTTACAAACTAACGAAACTTTGACAAATAAACAAAAATTTTGTCAACTAATGAAATGTGACATGTTGTCGAATTCGAAGGGGGTCGATACGTTGACTATGAACAGTAACCTTTGAATGGTTAATACGATCAGCCTCTAAATGAAACATTTTTGCCTCTGAATCGACACATTTGTATAACACTTCTTTGTTATACATTCGAAACCATCATTCCTTGTTCCCTGGAACAAAATTCCCTTCGATCATTCCAAGTCCTCCTAAAATTCTCACAAAAGATTTTTCATCTAATGGTTTCGTGAAAATATGAACCAATTGATCAGTAGTAGTTTTCACGAAATGCACTTCAATATTTCCATCCTCCACATGATCTTTTATGAAATGATAACGAAGAGCAATGTGCTTGGTCTTCGAATGCTGCACAGGATTATGACAAATATGTATTGCACTTTGAGAATCACAATATAAAGGAATTTTCTTCATATTAATTGCATAATCACGCAATTGACTTTGAATCCAAATTATTTGTGATGTGCGAGCTGCAGCAGCAACATATTCTACTTCAGCTGTGGAAATCGAAAAACAAGTTTGCTTCTTCGACTGCCAGCTCACTAATTTTCCATCAAGTAGATGACATCCTCCACTTGTGCTTTTTCTATCTAGATTCCAACCTCCCAAATCAGCATCTGAGAAAGCTTGTATGAAGAATCCAGTTTTTGAAGGATACCACAATCCTAACGAAATTGAGCCTTTGAGATTACGAAAAATATTCTTGACTGTAGTGAGAGGTGGTTCTCGAGGATTTGACTGGTACCTAGCAGGTTTATCTAACGAAGGTGTAAGCCTTGTTCCCGTTGCTATTGGTACTCGCAATTTCGTGCTATTCGTCTATCCAAACTTTTCAAGCTGATTCTTCGTGTATTTTTCTTGATTGATAAAAATTCCTTCTCTGTTTTGTCGAATATTTAAACCAAGAAAATTATTGATTTTTCCCATCATACTCATCTCAAATGCTTTTCACCAGATTTTCAAATTCAATAGACAAAGCAGGGTCAGTAGAGCCAAAAATAATATCATCGACATAAATTTGTACAAGCATTAGATGATTCCCAACTTTTTTTCGAAATAATGTCCGATCAACTGATCCTTGTTTAAATTTCGATTGTTTTAAGAAAGAGGTAAGAGTTGCGTACTAGGCTCTCGGTGCTTGTTTTAATCCATAAACTGCCTTATCTAAAGTATAAACATGATTAGGATACTCTTCATTTATAAATCCTGGAGGTTGTTCAACGTAAACAGTTTCTTCAAGTTCACCATTGAGAAAAGCACATTTCACGTCCATTTGATAAACATCAAAATCTTTGTGAGCTGCATAAGCCAAAAATATTCGAACAGCCTCGAATCTTGCGACAGGGGCAAAGGTTTCTTCATAATCGATACCTTCTTGTTTCGAATATCCTTTTACGACTAATCGTGCTTTATTTCGTACAACATTTTCGTACAACATTTCCATCCTTGTCGGTTTTATTTTTGTAAATCCATTTTAACCCGACAATAGAAACATCTTTTGGCTTTGGAATTAATCTCCGAACTTTGTTTCTCTTGAATTCAGCCAGTTCAGATTGCATTGCAACAACCCAATCAGAGTGTTTCATTGCAACCTTAACAGTCTTTGGTTCAATTTTCGAGATAAAAACATTAAACATGCAAAATTCTTGATGAGTATTCAGTACCTCATTCTTTGCACGAATTTGAGCCCTCGTCAAAACTACATCTTGTGGATTTCCAATGACTTACTCTTTCGGATGATTACTTGTGCACTTTTCCAATGGTGGAAATGCTGGATCAAAATCCAAATGTGCATCTTCGTATAAATCTTCATTTTCTGAACCTGCAACAGAATGATTATCATTAATTTCGTGAAATTCATCAGTTTGATCAGGACTTATTATATCATTGTTATTTTGTTCAATTTCGACAGAAAGATCATTCTGATGCTCCCCCTCAACATCTGCATTCATTCTCCCATTCCCCCCTCGAAAGGATGCTCCCCCTCAAGCAGAGTATTCGAATCCAATTGGTCCCCCTCCACTGGATTATTATGCATACTTTCGCCAGATTTTGGAGAATTCGATGTGGAATTACTATCTACAATTGTTTGAAGGATTTCCAAGTCATCAGTATGCTTCGTAGATTCACATTGATGATTATCATTCGCATGAACTTCAACATATACTGCCCTGTCAGGAATACCAAAAATTAAATCATAATCAAAGTCAAATGAATTTGATTCTTCAGTTTCATCAGATGATTCATTAAGAATTGGTTTTTGTTCAAATTGCTTTTCAACTTGTTTCACGAAATAATCATCAAACGTAAGATTAATTGTCTCTTCAACTTTTCGTGTGCGCTTAATTAACATTCTGTATGAAACTGAATTGTGCGAATATCCCAAAAATATGTCTTCCTCAGCCTTAGCTTGAAATTTCGAAAGATTATCCTTGAGATTCATGATAAAGCACCTACAACCAAACACATGAAAGAATTTAACATTTTGGTTTTCGGTTATTGAGAATTTCATACGGAGTGATTTTGAATCGACGATTAATAAAAGAACGATTTTGAGTAAAACATGTTGTTGACACTGCGTCAGCCCAGAGATATTGAGGAAGATTCGCATATGTCAACATTGTTCTGGCTGCTTCGCAAAGTGACCTATTTCTTCATTCAACTACACCATTTTATTGTGGTGTATATGGTGACGAAAAATTATGTGAAATTTCTTTCTCAATTAAGTACGAATCCAACATATTGTTTTTGAACTCAGAGCCATTATCACTTTTGATTTTACGAACATTCTTTTTCAAACTCATCTCAATTTTCTTGATAAAATCAATCATTGTTTGAGCGACTTCAGATTTTAACCTGAGAAAATACACCCAAGTGAATCGAGAAAAATCATCAACAATAACCAAAATGTACCGTTTCTTGTTGAGAGTTTCAACACTTGATGGTTCATAATGGTCAATATGAAGAAGTTCCAACGGTTCCACAATTTTCGAATCTATCACAATTGGATATCCTTTCCTATGTTGTTTCCTTTGTTCGCAAGCTGCACATAAGGTATCATTGTCAATTTTTAAAACTGGTAAGCCTCGAACAAGATCATCAGTTACCAACTTATTTAAATTTCGAAAATTTAAATGTGATAAACGACGATGCCATAACCAGCTAACATCAGATGTAGCTTTCGAAAGTAAACAAACTGAAGGTTTCCCAACAATCGGTTTTAGATCAAGAGTAAACATATCGCCATAGCGTTTTGACTTTAGTAGCACTTTGTTCGTTTTAACCTTTGAGATGATACTCCCTTCTTCGTTAAACACAACTTAATTGCCAGTGCCCACAACAAGTTGTGAAAAACTTATCAAATTATGTTGAAGACCTTCGACATAAGCAACGCGATTTACAGTAAACTGTCTATTCGTTACTTTCCCATAACGAAGATGAGATTGAATTCCATAGCATTCCACGTGATTCCATAAGGATTGCATTTGTAGATCAACTCATTCAGCCAATCATAATAGCATTCAATCGTTTCACCATCTTTTTGCTTGAATTCCTTCAATTCAATCAAACATTGCTTCACATAATTTATTTTTGTCTTCTCACTTCCCTGAAACTTTTCTTTGAGATTATTCCAAATATCTTTTGCAGTTGTACAACTCCTAACATGGTTGTATACAACTGGAGGTAATGCACCGCATAACTCTCTTATGCATCTTTTCTCAAGTTTCTTCAAACGATCAGATTGATCATCAACACTTGAAGTTCAAGACGATGATCCAATTGGTTGAACATTTTTCGGAGGATTAATATTCCCAGAGATACATGACCAGAGCTCTTCATCGAGTCCATTCAAGTAATCTTGCATCCGATCAGCCCATTGATCATAATATTCAGGAATAAGCATAGGAATCTTAGTTAAAGATGCTAGAAAATGAGAGAATGAAGTCATCGAGTTAAGATCGAAGTTCGCCATTGATGTACGGATGGAAATTTTTTAGGATTTTTTAGAAATCAAAGAGAATTTGAAAGCAAATTGTTGAATTGAATTGAGATAACAAATAGAACACTCGATTCAACAAATCAGTTGCAGAATCGAATCACAACTGATGATCTAGAACGCTTTTTCACTTCAAAAGGTGCGGAAACTTTTTGAATCGGAAAATTGATTCAAAAACCTTTTGAATCATAGTGAAAATCAGATCGCAGATTATGATTCCTGCTCTGATACCAATTGATGAAGTGTTGAATCAAATATGAATCAAATCAGAGTAAAACGAATGTAGTTTGAACACGAGAGGTAAATATGATCTGGTTTCAGCGCTATTATGCTTTCAATTGTTATAGAGAGAACGTAGACAACTTCATACAAGGACTCTTATCCAACTCTAAGTAATGTCCCTATTTATAGGAAACATGAAAGCACACAAAAAATTACAAGGAGTAAACATCTAAGCTTCGTTACAAAATTGCCTTGTAAAATAACATTAAGTCTTCGACATATTACAACATGTCTTCGACCCTTATACACACATACTCTCTGTCTCTCTCTCTCCATCTCTCTCTATGAACATGGTGGCGATCTCAATCAATGTCTCTGAAGTTTGTTCAAGTGCCAGATACTCCCGAGCCAACTACTAAACCTCAATTATTGGCCCAAACTCTTTCCTAAATCGGGAAATAAAATCCTCCCAGGTTATAGACTCATCTGCATCTGGTTCGAGGACTCGACAAACCACACGCCACCAATCCGTCAATCCATCTCGCAGTAGGCATGCTGAAAAGTTAATCTTGGCCTCCGGTGGACAAATGTTGGCGAGGAAGGCACTCTCTACATCGGTGATCCAATGAACACTGACAATAGGATCCATTTTCTCTATGAATCGTGGATCCCCGAAGGCATCAAACTCCATGATGGCAATCTCATGGGCACATGGTCGAATGGCCTCCAATTCATATCCCAAACCCCTAAAGCGTTCATCCACCATAGAAATCAATTCATAAATCACTAATAAAATCACTTCGGGTAAATCCTCCTTCATAAACATGGAAACCTCTGCAGCGATGATGTCGCGGACATCCTTCTTACTCAGACCTGAATCTCCATTCCAAAAAATTGCCATCCTGAATAAGAAGGATAACGGGAACACCTCCAATCAATTCACAATGTTAACCCACACTATGCATACACACCTAAAAGTTTCATGGTATTCGTGTAACACTTCCTTGACTTAAGTATGGATCATGTGCTTTTAGTAGTCCGGGCCCAATACTACCTTCCACACTTATCCATACTCTTTCCAAAGATAATTCCAAGACTCCAAAGTCAGTTCATATCACTTGTAAGGTCCTCAATACAAGGATCTTAACCAGTGATCAATCAAACAATAAGAAATGAGTAGAAAAAGAATAAGGATCAAGCTTGCACATGTTTAATAACTAAAAACGTCAAGTACAACTCGATGACCCTAAACTCCACTGACAGACTGACAGCACTTCTGACAACCAGTGACAACAACCACTTCTGACAGACTCTGCCATGCTATATATAGGAGGACCGACCATAAACCTGATTAAGGTTAACAGACCGTAAACAGGTTTACGGTCACAATAAACCGTAAACACAAACAAGACCTATAATAACCCAATCAACATAAGCAAAAGCCCTATAACATCTATACAATCAGTTGCCTAGCCCAAACTACAAAATAAGACCTTTCAATCTCCCCCTTGGTTTGGGACTAGCTTGACTTAGTCCTTGTCAACAAGAAGAACATCTGATTTGCCCATCGCCCTGTTCCACATACTTTTGTTGATGATATCAGCAACCGTGGAGGTATATTCTTTAGCAGTTGGCTCAAAAATGTGTTCTGTAACCTTGATCTGATGAAGGTTCAACTGATGAATATCCCATCTCCCAAACTTTAACAGATCTCTTTTGTCATATAATCGAATGCATCCATGTTGAAGTTTTATGACATCAGAGGCTGTAGTTTCATTAAAAACCCAGTAGAGCATGGACTTCAATGATCCATCTGGATAATTCTGAAGCACAGGAATCTGTTTTACTTGACTAGTAGCAGGCCACATCACATTTCGAACAGGAAGCTTAGTTTTGGGATCAAGTACACTTGGGTAAAGTTTGATGATTGACTTTGTAGTCTTCATTAAAGGAAAACCCTTTTTCACTTGATCTTCCAAAAAGAGCTTCAATTGTGTTGCCTTGGGATTTTGAGAAGGATTTGCAAAACGAGATTTTGATAATTCTGTAAGATCAACCCTGGTCCAGGAATGGAAATCATGAACATCTTTATAATATTCTGTGTTGCCACTCTTGCGTCTCATGAGCCACATGTCTAGCGTATCATGAAAGCCCCATGAGATTATTCCTGACCTATCACCATATGTGTCTCTAAAACGGTTTTCTGAAGGTCTGTGACGGTGATTTTTGGTTGATCTCCAGGAGCATTTTGATCTGAGCTCTTTTTAAACAGGAGTTGAACTTTCTCAGCTGCTTTGGCCAATTTGGCGCGTTTCAGCGCTGCAACATTTGGAGCTTGAGCTGGTTCTTTTTCAAAGCGATCCACAATTCGAGATGTCTGACCAGGTGGTCGCACAACCGGAGGAGCTTGAGATGGCAGATACATCCTTGACTCATCAACATATGATTTGAACTTATCTCCAAGTTCCTCTTCCAATTTCTTCTTTAGATCAAAGAAGCTGGCAGTGAGGAGACCAAAATGAGTCTGAAGATCAGTGATTTGCTTTGTCTTTAGAGTCTTGTCCTCTTCAAGACTGGTAACTTGAATTTTGAGCTTGGTATTCTCAGTCATAAGATCAGCTACCTAAATGTCAAGCTCAATATTCTTCTGATTTAACACATTAATTTCTTTTTGAGTCTCAAGGATAGTGGGATCATCTTCTCCAAAGTGACCTTCCCCAATAGAAATTCCTTTAGCTCGAGGAGAAGGCACTGAGCTTTGTTCCTTAGCCAAATTCATAGCCAGCCTCACATATGCATCATCATGTTTAGGCCACGGAGGAGATGATCTCTGACCGGCTGATGAACCGCCAACTTCATGAATTGAGCTTGGACCTTCTTGTGTTGAAACAGATGATGTAGAGACAAAAGTAGTTGATAGTGGAATCACAGGTGCTTGAGCTTTTTCAGGAGTGAGCACTCCCGGCCTCGGATCATGTCTTCTTCTTTTTGATGGAGGCTGGGAGGTCAGAGTTGTCAATGGATCACTCACGAGCGGCTCAGTGGTAGGAAGAACATTATCAAGGGGAGGAAACCCTGATAATGTATCCATTGGAATTCAAATATCGGCCATCTGGATGGGAGTAGGAGGCGTCGTCTCTTGAACATTTTCTTTCTCCCTTATCTCCGTTGTTTGAGGAACAACATCATCGATATTGTCAAAAAAATTGTCGAACTCATCATTTGGAAAAGGATTGTCATTAACTCCAAAATTATAGGAATATCATCTTTTTTAAATCCCGATAAATCGATATTTTCAAAAGAATCATCTTCTCCTTCTTCAGTTTCAGTCATGACCTCCATTGTTCCTTCACTATAGTCACTATCAACCCGCACAGATTGTAAATTATGTTCTTCGGCCACAATAGCACTAGGAGTGACCACATCCTCTTCCTTATCAGAAACTGAAATCACATCATCTTCTAGAATGACAGTTTCTTCAGTTGAGACACGCTCTGATGATTCATGAGATTCATAAGCCTCACCAGATTCAGCGAACATACCATACTTTTCAAGAGGATACTTTCCTTGAAAGTTGATCTTTCCTTTCCTGTTTTTTGCTTGATAAGACCTACTGTGCTCGGTCCAAGGGACTTGATGTCAAGAGTTTCTCCAGCCTTGATAATCTCCGGAAATTGTTCATCAATAAATGCTTGAACAAATCTTGGGTACAGCAAAAATTTCTCCCTGACCTTTCCGTTGGCATTGGCAGACATCTCTTCAAATATAAACCTTGAGAAATTGAAGTTAATCCCTGCAGCCAGAGCAATGATGGGTTGACTGTTACGAGAAGAAATCTTATCAAATCCTGACTTTCTCCTAGATATGCAGCTCACGAACATATTAGCCAAAAACCTCCAATAGTGTGGAAGCAGCTTCTTGAATGTTGGTGGAAATTCGCCTTCATAACCCATCTTGATTAAAAATCTTTCAATCTGGTTGGCCTCGATTTCAGTAGGAAAGGATGATTGATCATCAATCTTGAGAGCATCTCGGATGAACTGTTCAGTAATTATGACTTTGCACTGTTTGACAGTGGCATGAATAGAAATCACACCATCATCTCCTTTCAGTACTTTTGCAGAGCTCCAAAATTCTCTTATCAATCCTTGAAAGATGGTTGGGTTTACGGTAAGTGCAGTAGCCAGGCAACAGTTCCTTAATCCATGCATCATTGATCCAAACTCTGCACGAGAAGCAGGAGGGTCAACCAAGATGATGGCCACATTGTGACTGTCTACGAATTTCATGCTTGCCATCTTATCCTGCACAAACCAAGCCAAGTAAGAAAACATTTGATTTATCAGTTAAAATTTTTGTTTTACTCATTGAAACAAGTTAAATTGGCCTTTGAAATGAAATAAATGATAAAAATCAAAATTTATTAGTCAAAAAATGAGTTTACGGTCAAGATAGTCAAGACTGTAAGCCCTAGTTCATAAGCTGTCTAGACCGTAAAAGGCTTGACCGTAAGCCGATTAGATCATAAGCCGATTGGACCATAAACGGCTTGACCGTAAGCCGATTAGACCGTAAGCTTGGTCTGATCGTAAACACGCTGAAATGCAATTTTCTTCGATTAAACCCTGATTACACAACAATTTGAAGCGAAATAAACTTTCCCATGATCGAAATATGTATACCTTTGAGATTAGTGGATCAATTTCACAAAAATCGAAAAATATTTTAGATAGTAACAAACAGTTCACGGTTGGAGATTCAGAAAATGAGGAGGAGGGGTTTACAGATGAGTCAATTTCTTTATATACATGGCCCAAAGACCAATGGGCTGCAAGCCTTAATGCAAAAAATAGAGTCCAAAATAAAACTAAAGCCAATTTAAAAAAATAATTCATTTTGAGGACTAAAAAAAATAAAATAAAAATAAAATGAATGAAAAAATTAAATGATTTCTAACAAAAATTTAATTTTATCATCCTTAAAAAAAATAGAAATAAAATAGAAAATTAAATCTAATTTCACCTTCACTACTGAAAAAAAAAATTTATGATGTGGGATCAAAGTTGTTAGACAACTTTTATCCGTTTATCAGTACCTTTAATTTCATGTCGATGTCTGGTCGATCGCTGGTATTGTGGTCCACTTAAGCACGAAAAAAAAATGACAAAATTAGGATATTTTATAAGTGACAAGGCATTAGATCCTATGAACTTAAATACTAGTCCTAAATGACCATTCAGCTCACGACGACCAAGGATATTGTTGTCCACCTAAATTGAGCAGTGAGATCTACAGACAACCTATAATTGTTCAATTTTAGTTGTACTAGAACTCAGAGCCATTATCACTTTTGATTTTACGAACATTCTTTTTCAAACTCATCTCAATTTTCTTGATAAAATCAATCATTGTTTGAGCGACTTCAGATTTTAACTTGAGAAAATACACCCAAGTGAATCGAGAAAAATCATCAACAATAACCATAATGTACTGTTTCTTGTTGAGAGTTTCAACAATTGATGGTCCATACAGGTCAATATGAAGAAGTTCCAACGGTTCCACAATTTTTGAATCTATCACAATTGTATGTCCTTTCCTATGTTGTTTCCTTTGTTCGCAAGCTGCACATAAGGTATCATTGTCAAATTTTAAAACTGGTAAGCCTCGAACAAGATCATCAGTTACCAACTTATTTAAATTTCGAAAATTTAAATGTGATAAACGACGATGCCATAACCAGCTAACATCAGATGTAGCTTTCGAAAGTAAACAAACTGAAGGTTTCCCAACAATCGGTTTTAGATCAAGAGTAAACATATCGCCATA